CGGTGGGTGGGCAGGCCTGGTGCAGAGCCGGCCCCTGGCTCGGGTGGGGTGGGGCAGGGTCGGGGGCTGTTTTTTCTGACTCGGCTATCCCTCTGCCCCCTTCCAGGGGCCGGTCCTGCCTCCTACCATCCGGGTTCGAGTTCGCGTTCAGGATAACCTTTTCCTCATCCCCGTCCCACACAGGTGAGGCGACTCGGCTCCTGTGCCCCTGTGGGCTCTGCCCCGTGGCAGCCGAGAACCCTGGTGTTTGTGCATCAGGAGGAGCGTATCATCCTGCTGGCCCGGGGGCCTGGTAGCTGGGGTGGGGCCGCAGGCAAGGGCGGGGGGCTCTTCTCGAGCATAGGCTGGCCCTGGAGTGGCCAGTGAGGTCCTGTGGCCCCTGGGAGGGGTCCGGGAGCTGGAGGCGGCTTGTGGGGAGGGGAGGAGCCAGGCGAGGGAGCTTTCGCCCCAGAGCTTGAGGGTGAGCCCGGGGGCATTTCCTCAGCTGTGCAGGGACGTGGCCAGGTCCAGGCTCAGCGCAGCCTCTGGTCCCACAGCAAGGAGGCCCACTCTGTGGCCTGGCTGGCCGAGCAGGCCGCCCAGCGCTACTACCAGGCCTGCGGGCTGCTGCCCAGGCTCACACTACGAAAGGAGGGGGCCCTGCTGGCCCCGCAGGATCCCATCCCCGATGTGCTGCAGAGCAATGAGGAGGTGAGTGGCGGGAACCAGGCCCCGAGTGTGGGCGTCCCTGGTGCTGGGTTCCCCGGGGCTGCCTACCTATGGTGCTTTCAGGTGTTGGCTGAAGTGACCTCATGGGACCTCCCCCCGCTGACCGACCGTTACCGCAGGGCCTGCCAGAGCCTGGAACAGGGTAAGGGCCCAGGAGGCCCACAGTGGCCTGGGTAGAGGGGCTGGGCACGTGGGCTCCACCTGTTACTGCCACTGCCAGGTCCCCAGGTATCCACACCTGTCCTTGGGTTTTCCTCCCCTACCAGTGCCCCTACTATGAGCAGTATGTGGGGGAAGCTGTGTGGGGTGAAGGTGGGACCTTGTAGAGACCTCAGAGCTGAGAGGCTGGGCCGGGCCAGAAGTCTGGCACTTCTGGGAGCCGCCAGGCTGAGAGGTGGGGAGGGCCTTCCTGGGCAGATACAGGTCTGCACACCACCAGCCTGCATGGGGCCCACCACCGGCTGGGAGCAGGTGGGCTCGGGAGTGAGGAGGGCTGTGCAGGTTTCAAGGGGCAGACAGGCCGGCTCTGGCCCTGGTGACACCACATCCCCTTGCAGGGGAGCACCCGCAGGTGCTGCAGGCCATGGAGCGCCAGGGTGTGGGCCCCTTGTTCAGCGCCTGTTCCCTCGCCCTGCGCCAGGCCCAGCTCACCCCCTTGCTTCGGGCCCTCAAGCTGCACTCGGCACTCCGGGAGCTGCGCCTGGCAGGGAACCGGTTGGGGGATGGCTGTGCCACTGAGCTGCTGGCTGCCCTGGACACTTTGCCTGGCCTGACCCTCCTCGACCTCTCTTCCAATCACCTGGGCCCTGAAGGCCTTTGCCAGCTTGCCTCCGGTTTGGTGGGAAAAGCCACCCTGCAGGTAAAGGCATGGGGAGCAGCAGGCCAGAGATGGGTGGGAAGGCACACCTGGGGTGCTGACTGGTACCC